TGGCACAGACAGTCAACTACCGTACATCACCGATCACCGGTGCAAGCCTCCCCCTTCTCATCACACCACACCAGCAGGAAATGATAATGGTACAAAGAGTTAAAATACCAGGAAGATTTTGTTTAATTGGTGAATAGAGGTGGTCAGTGTGACACTGCATTTACATTATACTCAATGTGAGCACTTTAATAGTGTACAGCATAGCTGCAACTTAAATTACATCTTGTAGATTACAACATCCAATAACACAGGAATAAGACAAATGTTTTTTTGAGATTCTTTTATACAAGACATTATGACAATACTATAGAGAATGATTTGGAAGACATCTCCATATACAATGCTACAGCAATCATGAAAGTACTGGAAATACATTCCTTGGAAAGGTCATGACCAGAAATTGTCACCTAGTCTTTAGTCCATGTGTATCAGATAAAATTTTAAAAGAGGGAAACAAATCCTGATTTTAAGAAATAAGTATTCAGGAAGGGCATGGTGGATGGCCTGTTTTATGAAGATATTAATACTCAATCCTTGTTGTTTAATATTATTATTTTAATTCACCACACAATGTCTTTGCTCCACATTTTTCTCCACTTCAAATGTAGCTCACCAGAGAAAGTCAGCTACAAAGGTTTTTAGAGTTAGACCAATCTAGCTTTCTTTTCACGAGTCCACTTGGTATTCAAAACAAAAGTAAAACAGCTTTCAGTGGACATAGTCATACAGGAATGCACTCCATTCAAGTGCATTCAAAACCACATTATACACATTACTTGATTGTAGTTAAGTGACTGGCTGCAACTTAGAGCTAAACTATTTGATTTCTTTACAGATTTCCTTATTTTTAAGTCCATAGTATCACAGTTGTCAAAACTTGGAGGTTTATGTAACCTGCTAGTACTCCCAACATATCAGAACAGTTAGCAATTTACAGCGTCAATTTACACCACCAATACAAGATTACATTTCCTCTTGCTTTGGTGACAGTTGGGTTCTGCTGCAAGTAGGATAGTACTACAACTGTCTGTCCCTCTATGGGATAGGGCACTGTACATCTACTGCCTCAAAATAATTCTAGAAAGGGTAATGTGCAGGTGAATAATGAGAAAAAAAAAACAAAACAAAAAACAAGTTATTTCACTAGTGCTGAGACATAAAATTGACTATCATAAACTATGCGTTATGAGATATGAAAACTGAAAACTAATAGTGCTCTGTAGACTAAAGAAAAGGCAGTTGAATTTTATAACAGTGCAAGGGCTGAGCACATGCTTAAGATGAGGGCATCGTTCAGGAATGGATACATGTGCATTGGAACAAATGCTCCCGTGTATAAAATCAGTAATACACACCATGTACAAAGGCCATATGACTATTCAAATATTGAACATTTGGAAAATTAGATGTGATAATTAGATAGGATTCTGAAAGTCCATTTTGTACAGCTAGCAGTTTCCTTCAAACTTTTAGTTAGATACAAGAAATGATCCGCATTGCAATAACTCTTTTGAAATGTACTCCATGTTACATGATGTATTCCCAATAACAGCCATATCTTTTCCTAATGCATACTACTAAGCAAATAGGACAAGCTCTTTTGAAAGGAAAAAAGGATTCAGGCACAGTATATTTGGCAAGTTTCATTACATGAGGTAGCTCAAAGTTAAATTTACCCACTGTGCACAGCAGTTTAGAATAAAAGTGATGTACACAACCAATATCAAAAGAAAAAGAAAACATTTGTCATTTTAGCTCATACCTTAAAGGCAATTACAAAGCCTTTCTTTGAAAACCAAAAACAAAAGGAAAACAGGTCTAATATGTACCAGCGTACAGAAAAAAATGGAGATCAAGATGAAAACATCTTTCTTAAAAAAATTCCATATTTGCACAAATTAATTTAGGATAATATTATTCCCGGTGAATCAAAACATATAGTGCTAACGCAACAAGAACTGCATACTGCAAACAAACAAAATAAATAAAATCAGTTGCACTTCAGTTTAATGAGATGCTGATGATGTAAGAAGAAGATCAACACAACTTACCTTGAAATGAGGATAATCATTCATGTATATTGTGACAAGACCAACATACGGCAGAAACCCTCGAGCTCTTCCTACAACATGATTTTTCTGCAACCAGAGCTGGCCTGGGGCATAAAGCCCTCGATCGTCCACATTGTTGTTGTCTCCCTTTGTAAGGAATTTGACAGTACCATTGGACCTAGATTATGTAAAGTAAATAAATTATTTGATTCAAAGGTTTTCCAAAGATGTAAAAGCAGAGTTGAAAATTACGGGATGTACTAAACAAAATTTAAATTAAAGTTCAGGTCTTACTTCTCATGAAGTTTTAAAACTCTGTGCACTATAGGAATCTCTCTGCCTTCCACTTTGAACACCACAATATCACCGGCTCTTATAGGATCTTCTTGATTGTTTGTGAGGAAAAGTAGGTCTCCTCTTTGGAATGCAGGTTCCATGCTACCACTAGAAAAAAGAGAAGGAATTAATGGGCATTGTAATAAATTAAAAATATACGTCAGCAGTGTGTAAGGACTAGATTTGTTGAACATCAATCAGCTTACCTGAGTACTACTACTATCGGGCTTTCACTGCCTGTTACCACCATTAATCCCTTCCATATCATAAGAGCAGAGGATACTATCATACCAAAGCTCAATGCCTGATACAGCATCTGAAATACAAAGAATTCACTTTACAGGTTTTTCTAAAATGTGATCTGCACAACTTTTATGAATTACGATGAAGTCAAAACAAAGTAGGCACATATTTAAACTAAATGTTATTGGAAAATAAATAGAGCTAGCATGTATGATTTATAACCCCTTCATAAGAATCCATCAATAATAACAGATAGGAAGACAGAATTGCTCTAAATTCAATGAGAAAAGTATGAAAGAGACCACTGTTTCAAAAACAGATGGGAGTATGCTGTAGTGACATGTTGACACATAAGGAGCCTTAACCTATAAACTTGGAAACTACGACATTTCTAGAGAAGTAGAGACAAAATGAGTAAAATCTTTTGAGATAATTACTAAACATGTATTGAACAACTACAATTAAAATATTGGGGTATTTTATATAAGCTTCTCAATAACGGAACGGGGTAGAGCACAACCACTGGCTTTCAATAACTAATTACCTGGCGCTTGTTCATGCGCTTGAAGTCGTCCCACGCGTCCATTGTAAAGTTAAAGTGAGAAAAAAATTGATTCACGGAAAAGTAAACGACAGAAAATCTATCTTCAGGGAAACCGGCGTATTTTTCCCCAAGCGCCGTCCGGTGCAGGTCCACGTCAGTTTACACACCGCAAATCACTATCGGCAGTCCAAACCAAATCGTTCTGCTGGTTATTCGCACTACAGCCTCTGCACTGGAGCGCCACCTAGCGCCTGGCGCCTCGTCCACCAACCAGAAGACACTCCGCCGCTGTCAGCTGTCATCGCTAGCAAGTCGCTGGTCTCCCATCTACCCTGAGCTGAGGTCGCGGTTGCCCTGCGTTTATGCTTCACTCAGTGTACTGCCCGGACCTCCGCTTGACTTTCTCGCAAGCAATTTGCTGAAGTGATTTTGTTTTGTGCTATGTTTGCGACCTTCTGTGGATAGCGATCACAGTTTACGTAAGTACACCTAAGCCAGGTAGACCTCTGAAGCTCTAGTGTTAGGAGAGAACCGTTTGTTGACACCCTCAGTGAAAGTCGAGGGTGACAGTTTGAGAGCGGGGGTAGCATCCCCGAGCCGAAGGAAGGTTATGTTCTAGAAGGTAACATTTAAAACTCTTTGGCTTTTACCCTGATTTGCCGTGCAAGAGTCGCCATTGAGCTAAGGTATCAGGAATAATTTGTTTTTACATGGGGAGCTCTTGTCAGAAGTATATTGTGGCTTGTTATTAATTTTTATAAGGAATCAAAAATCAGTGCTAACAGCACTTGATTTTTAATAAAATGTACACATTTAAAAAGAATAATCCAAAGTAAAACAGAAGTGTGTGATTTAGGTTAAATTCAGCAGTGATTTTGGTATTTCAGTTGATGAGTTTGTTTCATGAAAAATTTTATAGTGATTATGTAAACAATTCTTAAACAATACAACTAGACACATTTAACCTGCACTTTTATTCAAACTATATCTTTCAGGTAAAATGATGGCTTGTTTCATGCTAAGCATTTTTAATGTATGTGCACATGAGTTTACTTATGATAGATTGAGATTAGTATTTTTTGTACATGTGAAAATGTTTGCTGAGGGTACCTTAAGGTCTGTCCCTGTCCCTGAAATGAAAGTTCATTCCAATGGTCAAGGGTGGCCGAGCACCTGCCTCTCCCAACATGGTACCCATCAGTAGTAGAGGGAAAACCTCCCCCCTCCCTTGCCCTTCTCTACCTACCGAATCACCCATATCCTCCCCTCCTTCCTTTCCCATCAGTTTCTTACCGTTCCCCTGAATCCAACATCG